ACAGGCTGCCCAGAGAGGTGGTGGAATCTCCCACTCTGGAGACATTCAAAACCTGCCTGGACGCTGTCCTGTGCAACCTGCTGTAGGTGACCCTGCTCTGGCAGGGGGGTTGGACTAGATGATCTCCAGAGGTCCCTTCCAACCCTGACCATTCTGTGATTCTGTGAAACCCCGAGGTATCGAGGCAGGTAGGTAAAATGCCAACTCGCTGCCTGGAATAAGGTGGTCTTTCAGATAGTCCCAAAGTCTCAACTATGATCTTTCACCCTGGAAACACCCAGAAGAAGAGAAAATCCAGCAGATACCTGACCTCACCCACAGAAGTCCCACAGGAGAGGGGAAAAACTACCCGTAGCAAAGCAGCCTAGGGACTAAATAGGTAATAGAAGAGGTAATTACGAGCAGTAATAAAGAGGAGTTAACTTAAGACGCGTCTGTTTGCAACACCAACTTTTAACACACGGATTACAAACCGCCCATACACCCACCTCCGCTGTGTCGAGATGGGTCCGGAAGGACGACGCCGAAATTATTTGTCCCTTCGTGAACGACGGGATGTTTAGGAACGCCTAGTGGCGGAGAGGGAGCCTGAGTGTTTTTCGAGGAGGATGTTCTCTCTACGAAAGATTTGAGATACAGCACATCAGCTCAGGGATTGGATAAGAAAACGCCGCTCAGCGCTTCTCACCCTACGCTCACCGCGCAGATCACCGGCTCCGAATCCCAAGCCGAGCAGTCAGGATAGCAATTCGGGAATTTCTTCAGGGGAGGGAGAGAGGGGACTTCCCCCATCAGCCCGGGGACTCTCGCTCGGGGGATAAGTGACCCTTCATCTGCGGCACCAACGCCTGCAGTCTGCACTTTGTGGGGACGCCACCGGCTCCGCTCTGGGTTTCAAAACCCCCCTCTCATCGCGAAATCCCAAAAGGCGGTGAAAACTGCACAGCAAAATCCACGGCTAGAGAGAGAGCTCCAACAAAAACGCGACGGGAGCTGCGTTTGGCCACAGCCGGACCCAAGCGACCGGGCTGCGCGGACTTCTGGCTTGCGGCACTACGTATGCGTCACCAACTCACAGATTTCACAAACACGTTCCGTTCTTAGTAGAATTTTAAGCTACTGGTGCTTGTACATCAGTACGAGAAATGGTTTGCGCAGCCACCGGCCTCCAAGCTCGAAAGAAAAGAAATTGCTTTGATCAGAAATGCTCTTTTGCTTGTCAGCTACCGGAACAGCCGGCGTTTGGGCAGCTGAGGGATTTTTCACTAAAGCTTCGGCAAAGCAAACCAGAAGGAGTTTTTGCTGATCTCTGAAAACCCGATGGTGGCGGAGAACTGCTTTTGCGATACTCTGAAAAAACCTGAGCAAGGACAAGCGGCTCCCCGCCTTCCCTCCTTGAAGCGAGAGGAACCTCACGGTATAAACCTTAATAATCATCCCCCAAAATAATATTATCGAGCTTTTAATAGCTTGTACTTACCAACAGCCCCGGTAACGCTCCGGGAAGTTTTGCCCCGCAGCTATTTTAGTTATTAGAAGCAATTAAACCGCAGAGCATTTCACAGAGGGCCGAGGAGACAACGTAATGCTGATGTAATTTAAACAAACGTCCTTCTCGGAGGCCGAGGACGGAGGGAACATTGTGCCGGCCTTACCTTTGCTGGTGCGAAACGTCAGCATGGCAGGCTGGCCTTCGCCAGCGGCGCTCCTCGCCACCATTAAAACTTCGTACAGGCTGGAAGGCTCCAGCTCGGTGAGCCGCAGCTCGTTCTCGCTGCCGGGGACGCGCACCGTCTGCCAGCTTCCCACCGCGCCGCCGCCATCGTCCAGCTGCGCAGGACAAGGAGAGACAGCTCAACATCAGCAGCGAATTGCACGGAACCCGAGGCGAGGCTCAAATCCCTCAGCGCTTTCAGCATCCGAGGAACCTCCGCCGCCTGCCGAAAAAAACCCTCCTGATGGTTTCCTATATCCACCTACGGTTTGACGCCGAGTTTCCGCCGCTGATCGGCACTTTTGCAACTACCTTCACGGGGCTCCTTCGATAAACTCGACTTATTTTCCCCTCTCCATCCACGCGCACGCACTTGTCGTTGGAAGAAATAAATAAAATTAAAAAAAAAATGGTCATTTTTATTTGTGGCTAAAACTAGCAAGAGCCCAAACGGTTTTAAAGACGTCAATCAGTCTCTAGCCGGCAGCATGGGGGACCTCAGAGGGCTGGACCCAACACCCTAATGAGAAAGAGATGTTCCCTGAACTATCCCAGCTTCTCCTGGACTTCAGCGGTTTAAAAATATTTACTGGCTGAAACGGGCAAGGAAATTAATGTCTTAGTTATTTCTTGAGGCTGGAAAAACAAATTCAGCAGGGAGACAAAAGGTTTGGGTTTTATTAATGCATGTTTCTTCTTCGCCTCTTCCCCTTTTTCCCCTCCTTCCCCTCCTCTCCTTCTTCCCCTTCTTCCCCCTCCTCCCCCTTCTTCTCCCTCCTCCCCCTTCTTCTCCTCCTTCCCTTCTTCCCCCTCTTCCCCCTTCTTCCCCTCCTTCCCCTCCTCTCCTTCTTCTCCCTCTTCCCACTCCTTCCCCTCCTTCCCCCTCTTCCCCCTCCTC